TGCACTATTGATGTAGCATGGTTTCTGTTGAATACCGTACCCTTTGAACCATGGAGAGTGGAAGCAAATGTTCCCTCCTAACCACAGCGGCCTGACGAAATGCCACTATCCTCTACCCCTTGATCAGACTCTCCTTCGGGGGATGCTTCCTGGTGCTTTATCATCAACCAGTAATTTAATTAACCAGGGTTAAATTTTATGGCTTTTTATGTTTTGATGTTTTCCTTGAAAAAGGTATCAATGGTCCATTCAGGCGAATCAAACGAAATTTAACATGTTTAAGACGTCTCGTCGGTTTGAAATATATTTTTTAGAATTTTTTCACACTCATAAATCTGTATACTTTTACACGCAGATTAAATTTCATCTTTTTAACAGCATAAAACTGTGAGCTTATAGTTTGAATTATTTGTGTCAATACTTTCGAAGAGCATGCCTATTATTGGTACCAACGACTTAGGTCACTCGACTTAAAGATAATCACCAAATTAGTATTGCTGGGTGATTTTGTCATGGAAATTGTGAGGGGCGGGTGAGCGGTAGGGCAAACATATTCCATGGAGTTCTGGGGATTTGGAGTTTTGGGGAGAGAAATGGTTCCTAGTACCCTTACTTGTAAGAGTTGATTGGGTCAGAAGTGGACAATGAGTGGACACCCCCCAAGGAGTGAATCGTTGCTCATTTTTTCAACCTTTTTATTTTCCTGGCCGTGACTCGCTTACTTCTAGACAGCTTTGACTGCTGGCGGAAATCGGCATTCACTTTCCACAGCATTAAACAATATGAGAAAGGGACACCAATTATGGTGAGAGTTTATGAATAATTGATTTCGAATAAAATCGACTTGATCCAGCAGATTTGAACTTTGTGACTTTTGTGGGTTCACAAATATACTACCAACACGCAAAACCTCATTTACGCACCAACGTATCACCCTGACAACGCATCAACCTATCACCCTGACAACGCACCAAACGTATCACCCCAACAACGCAACAACCTATCACCCCAACAACGCACCAACGTATCACCCTGAAAACGCACCAACGTATCACCCTAAGAACGAACCAACGTATCACCCTAACAACGCACCTACCTATCACCCCAACAACGCACCAACCTATCACACTAAGAACGAACCAACGTTTCACCATAACAACGCACCAACGTATCACCCTGACAACGCAACAACCCATCACCCCAACAACGCACCAACCTATCACCCCAACAACGCAACAACCTATCACCCCAACAACGCACCAACGCATCACCCTAACAACGCACCAACGTATCACCCTAAGAACGCACCAACGTATTACCCTGACAACGCACCAACATCAACGAGTTGTCACCAACCATCCCCAAACTCAACACTGGTGCAGTAGCCGTTTGTCCGGAGGACCAACATCGGGTTGGACATATTCTCACGTAACCGTTCTGAGACATCGGAAACGTGACTGACCACTTCCCACGTGTTCGTATCTCGCAGGTTGAGGTCAGTGTCCGTGATATTTACATTCCATGTCCAGAGGTACTATACCCCGACCCGGGCCCCGCCATCTGCCGCACATGTTGTTGCCATCGTCAAGATGCTCGAGGTTGTCCATCAGTAGGAATACCTAACACTTTCAGTATGTGCCTTCATTACAGTGTACATTATGTATATCTACCTCTCATGTTTATAGTTATATTCATACACGTATATTGAGAGTGTGTACCCTGCCCTACAAGGGTGTTCTCTACAATATAAATTCTTGATTCTGTCTTGGTATTTGACTACGGCTAGGAAATATTTTATTACACAATAAATTGTGAACAAAATCTGTTTTGTTTTATTTTTTTTAATTCTGACGCAGATGTGGAATATGTTTAGCTATACTTGCCAATTTTTATCATCAAGGCTGGTTTGGATCAAAATTCATGCACGTGCCTATTTTTATCACCTGGGCTGTTTTTGATTAAAATTCGTGCACTTGACTATTTTTATCTTCTGTAGGTTTGACTAAACTAAATGCAGATATTCAGTCAAATTGCAAGACCATCTTGGTATTGTAGGAAGTCACTTGCTTGTTACGGAAATGCTTACACAATATCAGTATAGACTGTAAAAAGTCATCTATGATGTAGACAGTTGTGTGTTCTCGTAAAGCCGTCTTAATCTTTTTTAGGTGTTATTTTCGAGAACGTGTTGGGTTAATATGTGTCGGACTTGTTATGTTTCGGCAGATAACGTCCCAACACCCACTTTAGCACCTCGCGCTCTCGAAAACAGTGGTGTATGTTCTGGCAAAATAATCTAAAAAATGACCCTCTACGTCTTTGATCTTTGAGGATTATATGTACGGGCAGTGTCACGTGACACAGTAGATAAGGGAGCTTCCTCATCTCATCTCAGTTTACTCTACATCCTCTCATCGTCATCATACTTGCCCTACAACTGCCACTATTTTACAATTCACAATCAACTGACATTACTCCACAATTAATTCACAATGTCATACAGTCAACTGACAATGTTCTACCATGAACTGACAACGTTCTACAGTCAATTGACAATGTCATACAGTCAACTGACAATGTTCGACAGTCAATTGACAATATACAATTATCTGACAATGTTCTACAATCAACTGATGATGTCATACAATTATCTGACAATGTTCTACAATCGACTGGCGATGTCATACAATTATCTGACAATGTTCTACAATCGACTGACAATGTCATACAATTAAATGACAATGTTCAAAAATCAGCTGATGATGTCATACAATTATCTGACAATGTTCTACAGTCAACTGATGATGTCATACAATTAACTGACAATGTTCTACAATCAACTGACAATGTCATACAATTAACTGACAATGTTCTACAATCAACTGATGATGTCATACAGTTAACTGACAATGTTCTACAATCAACTGACAATGTCATACAATCTACAATCTAACACCTGAATCGCCCAATCAAGCTGACACAGCGTGATCAAATGAAATACCTGTTCAGGGCGGCGTTAAACCAACCTCACAAAGCCACTACAACATGACAATATCCAATGTCAGCAGCGAGTCTCCACCAGGTTAAACAGCAACATATACACTGACATAACATTTCTTTATCAGTACGGCAAGAAATATTGCACATGTGGGACTGATAAGAATATCTGTTTTTTATTTTCAGATTCTATTTCTAACTTCGTTTGTATGGTGTGTCTGAAGCACATGTTCCTAGCTTGTGGTGTATCTCTGTGTATATTACCCGTACCTGTTCGCGAGACACACGCACACACACAGACACACGCACACTCAGACACACACGCACACACAGACACACACACTCAGACACACGCACACTCAGACACACGCACAGACAGACACACACACAGACACACACACACGTATACACATACACACACTCAGACATACACATTCAGACACACACACATACATTCGGGCACACACGCTGACACACACAGACACTCACTCAGGCACACACACGCTCAGACACACACACTCACTCACTCAGGCACACACACAAACAGACACTCACTGAGGTTCAGACACGCTCAGACACACACAGACACTCACTCAGGCACACTTACACATTCAGACACACACAGAGACACTCACTCAGGCACACACACACTCACACAATCATGAATACGGCTATACGCTGTTGTTTCCACACACTGCAGAAGAGGACGTATCAGTGACATGGAAACCTTACCAAATAATATGACCTCAATGCGCGATAGGGGCCGGTGTTACAAACCACAAGGCCCGCACCACAGCTAAGCAAGCTCCTATCTGCATACGGTGTGTGGCACAGCTACACAGTAGATCAGTGTTCGAATTACCAGCAGATTTGGGGAAAGGGAAATATTTGCAGGAAACAGGTTATCACAAGTACCGTCTGGGAATATGCGGAGGAAATGATATTTTGGTGGATACACCTTCCCTGTGTAAACAGAATAGAAGATGGGGATGGAGAATGTGTGAATGGGGGTTACACAAAGTCACAACACGCCATATCCCATATCATTCATTGCTCGGAATAAAAGAGACGGAAAACAAACTTGAAATGAGTCGTTTTCTGCATGTATGAGTCAGAAAGGACGGAAAAGTGTGTGCAAATGGGCGGTAGCCTGTTGTCATTTTAAACTCCAACAATATCATTATTTTTTATATTTTCTTTTTAACACTACACAAATAAAACAACGCGTTCAAACAAAATATTGATGCAGAGGCCCTCCTATTTCCTGAAAGTATATCCCACGTGACAACTGTCTCTTTTTTAACCAATGTGATAAAAATTCACATATCGTTTTAACACTATCTATGACTTGCAGTATGTGCTCTATCACAGGTATAAAGCTAATTTGAAAACTAAATCCAGTTGATAAGCTTGTGGTGTTAAACAGCAACAATAAGATGCCTTTATAGGAGAAAGGAAATTTTATCAGGAAGCGTAAATGAATGAATATTCGTTCTGTTTTTTGGCCAAAGGCGGGTCTCATAGAACACACATACTTGTAGTTCACACCGTGCACATACACACACACACGTGCCTGTATAAACCCTGGTTCTATTCCTGTCAAACAGCGAGGCTGTCTAATAAACCTCTTTGAGAAGCCCATCTCCGAATTGATGTAGCAAATAAATATACCATTTATACATACACTATAATATAACTACTGGTATATATCAAAGCCTTACAATACACGCGTCTTACCTTCCACTATAAACACATCCCCACGTGTTCCGGAGTACGTGCCTCCTGCCTTCTATACCCCTGTCTATCTCCGTGCCTCCTGCCTTCTATACCCCTGTCTATCTGACTGCTTTGCCACTTCTTACTTAAGTCGCTATCTTAATACCCCAAACTGAGTTAATCTCTCCAATAACAGCTTATGGAATAACAAGCGATAACGCGACCTCCTGGCTCCAGCGTGCCTCCATCATGTACATTCATCGAACACAACCAGAATCCCAACCTACCTGATCCACTGCCCAATAAATCCTTTGCGCTCCAAATATCCTGCAATGGAGGGAGACCCTAGTTCCTCGGCCGGGAGTCTTCTTACAGTGAGGGGTCGGGGTCTTGCTCTACCCCCTCGGGTTTTGTCCTCGGGGGTGACGCTATCTGTCCAGGGGGTGTGGGGATCGCCAAACGACTTGGAGCGTCCCGACTTTAATTCCAGTGGACCCTGAAAGCAACACAGCAACCATGTGAACGATGCGGAATCTTGTAACGGTTGATGATTCTGGAATCCGTTACCATCGTTCTGGTACTTCACGCGCCATTTGGTGATAATGTAAATTGTATCAGAACTAGTTCCGGATTAAGCTTCTGGAATCGGTTTCATAACGATGTAATTGATCCGGAATGTCTAAGATAATATTACAGCAGGTCTCCTGCTCATGTGTAGAGTGTTATCTGAGAGACACAGTTGAATGTCAGACCCTGCCTCGGTGTCCTTGCAAGGCACCATATGCGCTGTTTCCGAGGGGCCTTGTAAGGGTGAAATATGTTTTCATTCGGGGAACATTTTTATTCAGATCGTAAAACTTTTCTCTTATGTAATTTGTAAGCGAAAATTATTCAATGCCTCAAACAAATTCACGTTTATAAATTCACGTTTATCATAAAGTTTATTCTAACCGTGACTCGGGGCATTTGTAGTTTCTAGGACAATTCAGTGTTGGAAAAAATGTAGCGATGTAACCGCACAATTAAAATTCCTGTAAATAATTATTTCTTATCCTGTACAGTTCCCCGTAGCATAATTACATGGGTTAAATACGCGACATGGGCCGGGTGATCAATGTTATCGATCCATAACAATGATTATACGTAATCGATACACACTGGAACTACTTAATGAAATAGCGGATTCAGAGATCGTATAGATAACCCTACTTATATATACAATTATCTATGTGCCACCCATTCCATGTAGAAACCTTTGACCCTAGTTCTGTTAACGTCATTAAAAAACAACTGTAGGTCCCTACCACTTTTTTAAAATCTCGGACCACTATTTTTAAGTATAATATGTTGTTATGTGCTTGAAGCCTTCGCTCGTCATACCGAAGTCAGGGTTCGATTCTCTACATGGGAACAATGTGTGAAGACCCTTTTGGGGCCGTGATTAATCACAAACTTATTTTTTTTTAAATAATTTTGTAAATATAAGTAATAAGTAATAAGTAACACCAGACATCAAATACACATGGTCTCTGACTTAATCATAACAAGCTATTTTTCAAACCCTGATTACAAGTTGTGGTTCGTTTGATGGTATGACACCCTACCAGGGACCATATCGTGACCCGGAAAATAAGACAGCTGATTCTCAAAAACATACGCGGACCGTGGATAGTGGATAAATCGTCTACCCGGAGAGCGAAGGTCGGTGAGTCGCTCCCCGGCCACGTCATACCAAAAGAAGTTGTTACTTGTTGTTACCCTGCCTGACGCTCGGCATTAAGGGGATAAAACAAGGACTGGTTGGCTCAGAGTTAATACGTACTAGTACCAGCAACCACACCCATGCATGCACGTCGCTATACAAGTGCAATAATCTTGAACGCAACTCTAAACCTCATTTCACTTAACCCTTTAAACATACGCTAACCAAGCAGTACCTGTGACTTCTACATATACAGTATAGGTCAGAGACCGCGTCCGTGGTCTAGTGGTAGAGTGTCCACCCGGAGAGCGGAAGGTCCGGGGTTGGATCCCCGGCCGCGTCATACCAAAAGACGTTAAAAGATGGTACTTGTTAAAAAATTGTTACCCTGTCTGACGCTCCTAAGGGGCTAAAACAAGGACTGGTCGTCTCGGAGTCAGTATACTGTGTCTGAGTGGGGTATTCATGTTAAACTGCGGCATGGTATCTCAGCGGGCTAGCACTATAAATCGGTATCACTCCGGACTAGTACAAGCAGCCACACACACACACACGTGCATGCACGTCGCTATATAAGTGCAATAATCTTGGACGCGACGTTAAACCCTATTTCACCTCACCTATGGGACAGAAACGGGACAGCATTACACCAGAACCAATGATACGTTCTAAAATTATATACATATATCTTGAAAAAAGATACGTATTTCCAGAGCCACTCACAGTCTGTGTCGCTGCACTAAATGCTCCTCCACTCAGCGTCAACACGATACAGTACCGTTTATACTCGAAAAGGGCCTGATGGTGTAAGTGCAGAGCCCTTAGCGAGGGCATTAAATATTTAGCAGCGTGACTGCGGGACCAGAGCAGGAACGTGTGGCGAATGGCTCTAAGTTTGAACACATTTGCTGACCAGGTGCGGCAGTTCTTAAATCAAAATATTTCCCTGCGATCGGATTACCCAGAAGCATTCGGAAACTCCTCATTTTCTTTTCTCCATTTCCAGCCCTCAAGCCATGAATGAACCCGATAACTCAAAACATACCCAATGACGGTCATACTGAGCTAGTCACACACTGTCGCGACACCTGCCGGATTGCTCAGGCCTGGAACAACTCGTCACGTCGCGAGAATGTGTCTCCGACTTGGCTCTGTCTACAAACAACGCTAGAGGCGCACCGGTAATTGCGCGCATACTTTACTGACCAGAATACATTTAATATTTTCTGCTAGTTTTTTGTTAAATTCTTAATTTTTGTACGTGTCATTTTCGAAAATGATTAATTTTGTTGTTGTCGCCGCCACATTTACTGACACATGCACGCACGCACGCACCAGAACACTAAACCCTCCATTGTGAGTGAGTGAGTTAGTATGCTTTTGTCTTACGCCGCATTTAGCAATATTCCAACAATATCACGGCGGGGAACACCTGAAATGAGCTTCACACATTAATCCCTACCCATAACACTGAGACCTCCGTCTTGAAACTGATCCCTCCCCATACCATTCAACCAACCCCCCAACTCTACCCTGACCCAATAACACTTCCCTCGCCCAATAACACTAACCCCAACCCATAACACTACCCTCACCCAATAACACTAACCCCACCCCATAACTCTACCCTCACCCAATAACACTAACCCCTCCCTCTTTACACTCATAACATTAATCCCCCATACCAAAATCAGCAATAACAAGAATCCACCCCAAAACACTGACCCCCACCCGAAAACACTAATCTCCCCCTCTTTAAACTAAGCCCATCCATAACAATAACCCTCCCCATAAAAGAATTACGTCTCAGCATATCACTAACCCCTCCATGTTAACACTAACTGCTCCCAAGAACAATAATCCCTTCCCACTGATTTCTTCACAGTTCCATCAAATCCAGACAACGCCGAACAACCAACCCACCTCCTCGCCTTCCAGTAACTGTCACTCCATGTCCCAAACCCCGACCCGCTACATGGATAAACCCCTCCGTCTATGCCCAATCAATCCCCCACCCCACAAGCTCCCTCTCCTGCCCCCAGGGGCTTGTCTCAGGTATGGGGAGGGTCAGAAGTTCGCCCTGCCACAAGGAGATAACATGCTGATGTGTCCCCGCCTTGCTGCACCGGTACTAGAGTGTGTAGGGCCATGTTGACATGCTTTCGTGTAGCATTATTCTACAAAATGCCCGGATTTGAAAAAGTATTGTTGCACATGATCAGTATCTCTGATAATCGTTGTTCTTGTTGTTTGTTTGTTTTGTTTAACGCCGCACTCAGCAATAGTCTAGCTATATGGCTGCGGTCTCTAAATAATCGAGTCTGAACCAGACAATCCAGTGATTAATATCATGAGCATCGATCTACGCAATTGGGATCGATGACATGCATCAACCAAGTCAGCGAGCCTGACCGCCCGTTCCCGTTAGTCGCCTTTTACGACAAGCATAGTCGCCTCTTACGACAAGCATAGTCGCCTTTTACGACAAGCATTGGTTGCTGAGGAGCTAATCTAACCCGGATCTTCGCGGGTTGAGGAAGAATGAGGAGAATGTTTTTACATGATGACGACGACGGCAACAACGATAATCGTGATTATGAGGATCACCATGGAGATACAAACTAAATTGGACACACTAGATGTATATATGCGTCATGTACCACCACGTCAAAATCTGTACATATACCGGTAACACTCTGTATTGTTTAACGGGAAAACATTCAATTGCAATAATGCTGTATTCTTCATTCCAAATGATAGTTTCAAAGATGTTCACTGCACTGATTAAACTATTTTTTTATCCTGATTATCCTGAACCTTGAAAGTGAGTGAGTGAGTGAGTGAGTTGGGTTTAACGCCGCTTTTAACAGTACTCCAGTTATATCGCGGCGTGTCAGCTTAATGTGGGAGGGAAGCCCGAAGTGATGCAGGTCTCAGACGTTTACCACTTCGGTGAAGAAGCTGGAAAGAAGGCATACCATGGATACAGAGAGTCACCAGTAATTCTGTTGAACGGATTACGCTAAGGACATTTAGGGAATCATAATTCGTTCAATCGCTTTAAACGTAAATGATGTTAGTCGTTCAATACCATATCAAAGGCAGACCTCTCTCTGTCCCTATAGCTAGTCCCTGAGAACGAAATCAGTTTTATTACTTCAACATGTTTGCCAATGTTAAATGTGGATTGATTTTTTTTAGATGATATATGTTATTATGAGCAAAATCATTCTCATTTCCTGTTGAGAAGATGGTGATTTTGAGTTGCAGTGGCTGTTTTGCCCAATTCTACTGGTAACTCGACCTTTAAATTACACGGAAATGACAGATATCAGGATATATTTTAGGTTATGTAAAAGAAAAAATGAACATTACATATTAATGGGCTCAGTTGTGCTTATTTAACCTAGATGATTGCCATGCAAATTGCCACCAGTTTTATGTAATCTGTTCAAATTGTAATTCAAATTTGCCGTTGAGCGATTCCATACCGTGAACTTTGGCATGACGAACAAACGCTTTAGCCACTAGGCTAGATCATGTGATGATCATGATGTATGGCGAAACGCCAAGACTTGTTTTAGAACGAAAAGAGAAACAAAACAAACATATTTACGGTCTAACATTTGCACTGGATTATCGAAAATTGACGAGACCATGAAAGCCCTCCCGGTAAATTACTACAATAACACCCCGGGCAGGATTGCCAATACAGGAAGCCACGACATTTCCTCAATTTGTCGACCTTGACCCCCTGCCCAGAGGGCACCAACGGTTGTCAAGCATCTGACACA